ATTCATGATCTCAATTAAACTTCAATGACATGCATAGATAAAATGTAACTCAATATCAATATAAAACAAGCTCCAAAACAATGTACATTCTCCTTTTATACATGCACATATTATAGACTATATAGAAACATATATATCATATAAAAGTTGATATTATTTAAATCTGTTAAAGTCTGGATATTTTGTATGTTTCAGACACATATGCATATATTTAAATGTGTGTACATATATGTATATATTCATTACATAATATATTTTAGAGTGGTATATATATATATTATTTGAATAAAAATTTCCGTTCATTTATTCAAGTGAAATAACTAATAAACACATACACACAAACATACACACACACACACACACACACACACACAAAGAGAGAGAGAGAGAAAGAAAAAGAGAGAGAGAAAGGGGGGAATTTTAGTAAAGAATTATCATAAGATCTGAAGTGATTATTTTATTTTAATTTTACTATTTAATTTTTTTTATTTTTTAGATTTACTTATGAGCATGGAGTGATTGTGTGTAGACATGTCCATGCCAAGGGTTTTTGTTGCAAACAAAGAATGATTTTGAGGAATCTGTGGTCTCAAAATTCTTAGGGATCAGAATCATGTCATAAAGATTGAAGGTAAGTAATTTTTTAACCTGTTGTTTATTTCACGTATCATAAACTACTGATATTAATGCAATTATTTTCTATTAGATAGAACTTTAATTTAAATTGAATGCTCTTTTTATTGCTTATTAGAAATAATCAATGCATAGGATTTCATAACATTTTAGAGAATGATAGCAAATGACTGAGTTCATGTCCTTTAAGTGTTTTAGTACATTAAAAAAGGTAATCAAGACAAACTATGTCCTCTGCAGAGCTCCTTTTAAAGACGCTTTTAAGTATGAAATTGTAGAAAATATGATGACTGAGATGGCCAATTAGTTTCTGGATCCAAAATATTGCAATTAAAGCCAAGAAAGATGGTCCCCAGTGTGAGGTTCATCATGCTGCATAGTAGTCCCTCTGCAGGTTGGCTTAGGGTTGCCCACTTCCCTTATGCAAGTATAAGTAGGGATATATTTTATAGTTTATAGCAGCACCAAGAAACTCCTAAAGTCAGAGAGTCAGAACAGAGGTACCTGTCAGAACCAGAAGTAAGTCTTGTATTTTTACTCTCTCTGTTTATTTAAGTGAAAATTACTGGTTTCTAAATCAGGAAAAAAATATATGTTTCCTAGTTTCAGTTTATTAACGATTTCCTGGAACTTGAAAAACAGTAGGAAATAGGAATCTTGATTTTTATTGTGAATAACAGCACACCTAAAGAAGAATAGAAAGATCTGAGCAATATAAACTGGGATTCTAACAACAGTCCTTATGTATGGAGTTCAGATTTTAGGTTACCTTAAAACCATGTTTGTTCAGGAGTACCTAGTTATGTTTCTTGTGTTTATTGGAAACATATTGTAACTCCTCCTTTACAAGCACAGAATTTCCCAGTGCATATCTCTAAGACTAATTTAACTTTGGTGTACTCTTTTCTAAACCCAGTCCACTCTGCTGCTTTCTCAGCAGATATTAAGTTCAATAAATTCACCAACAATAAGTGTCAGCCTTTCAGGGGCTAAGCACTTATGCTTTGTGAGAACACCCAAATAACATTTTCTGCCTCTGCCTTCATGCACTCAAAGCTCACACTGTATCTGGGAGAAATTCAGATATTCTAACAAGGCATATGTGTCTCCCAATTTGGCTCTCAGAATATTGAAACAATGGACTCCAAAGAAATGGGAATTTTCCCTTAAGAACCTCATGTTGGGTGAAGGAAAATGACCCAACTTGAGGGGCACTTATTTCTACTGAAAAGAATTTACACAATTGTTACAGCTTATCAGACCTAATACAATGAGACTGGAGTCCAGGCATGGATGGGCCAATGGTGGGCAGGACATCTTGACCAGGACTGTCTATATCTACATGTCCTTAGCTCTCTGTTTAAAATTTATTCCTACTTCTGAACCTCCAAGAAAACTTAGGGTGTTTGTTGTTTGTTTTTGTTCTTCTTCTCATAGTGGCCATACTGAGCAACTGTCCTTTTTCTGCATTGTACTATTAATTTGATTTACTGAGTGTAACTGGTTGAACATGGCGTGGTGCAAAGTCTGTAACATGAAGTTTGATAACAACAATAATACAGCCAAGGAGAGTAACTATATTTCTGCAATTTCTTCCTCCTTCTGAGAAATCTCTTCTTAAAGTACGCTACTCTCTTCTGCTTTAGTCTAACATTTTTGCCAGATATTCTTAAGCTTCTAATTGACTACTAGAAGGGAACATTCATTATTCAGAATTCCATATATTCCTATTCACTACAGAAACTGAAGGGGGCTATGATCTTTTTTTTTAAGATGTTCAATTCAGTTCTACACTCCACCATGGCCTAATATGTTGATTATCAATCTTATTGTAGAGGAAACAAATATCACTGCTTATACCAGTCGACAGATCCTCTAGTTGCTTCTATCTCAACGGGCCACACACATCCTCCAAAAGTCTGTTTATCAATGCCAAGTTCTTGGAATTGCTGTCACCTTTTACCTTTCAGTAAAATGTCTGCTTCCAGCTTTTTTCCTTGCACCTTCAAGAACTTAGGCCAGTACAGATAGAATAAAACTTATCTCTACCAACCCTCCAAACCTGGCAGACTCAGCAACTCAATTTTACTGTACTGAAGGCTGTGTTTTCCCCCAGGATCTCTTAATGTTAAACCTGGCCTAAATTTCCTCTTATGGGTTTCTACTTTCAGCATCTTATCATGGGTGTTTATAAACTTGAGCATAAAAATTATTTTAATAAGGCTCCCCTGGGAGGCCTTTTCCTCTGCTTCCTTCCTGTGGTTCTGTTTTTCTCTGCAAAATTTACAATCTGAAATTTGAGAGATGATGTGACTCATCTAACTGTGATTCCTTTAGATTTAATAAGCAACACTTTAGGCAGATTCCCACACACTCTAATATCAAGGACTGTTGTATTATATTATATACATTTGATGTTTATAATGAAATATTTGGTTACAGATTTAACAGGAACACTAATAAGGGTTATTTGGGGAAAACTTTAATTTCATAGACATACTGCAGTATGGGAGGCTCTTAAGAGAGTTAAGGAACGGATAACACAGAGAAATAACAACATGTGGCTCTGAAGAGACAGGTTAAGCTCACATTGGATCAAAGTCATGGTCTCTTTTTATAGCTCTCTGACTAATGGAGAAATTCATAACTCAAAACATGTATTGGTTGAAACAGCATATTGGTTGAGGAACAGAAAATGTCACTATTAACATCTTTCTAATATAAACTGACTTATTCAGAAGAAAAATCCTGGCACATGGAAGTCTGTTAACTAGATACTTAACAGTGTCTCAGTTGGGTGTCTGTATCTATGCGGGAGTAAGGATTATTGTAGGAGTTGTTGCAGAAGCAGCACTTTGGTCTCGATTATAACATTGCATTGGATATATTAGGTTAAGATTATTCACAAAGTAGTCCCATGATCAAGCATCTTTGTGTGTAAGGGAAGTTACAATGCAATTCTTACCCGTGTACTATATAAGAATGCCATGGTTGTATCTCTGCTTTTCAAAGAGTTATATTTAAATTTTCTGGATCACATCATATATCTCATAATGTGTTCCAGGTTCAGTACAACATTTGATTAAGGAGATTTCAAAACAAATAATTTTATGTTTATAAATCACACCCTACAACTATTCTTTTAATTACCCTGATTCTCTTAAAACTAACAGGAGAAACATATTTGTGTTTGAAAAATAGAGTTCTGGGAGCATGAGATTTGTTATCACATGCATTGAAAATAGCTTAAAATAATAAGTTGGTACGTGGTTGAAGACCATATGAGCATGGTTATTGCCACTAATATATCCAAACAACACTTATTAAGTATTTAATTTTTGCTAAATGAACAGGAGGTTTAGTTAATTATTAACTTTCTGAAATATATAAACAGGTGAAGTCACTAATTTTATGATGAAACATGATTTATGAAATTATTCAATAAAAGATTTTAAATACTAGGGCTAGAAAGATGACTTAACAGATAAGGGCAGTTTCTGCCAAGCCTGATGACCTGAGTTCTATTCTTAGAACTCATGAAGTGGTAAGATTGTATGAGCTGTCCACTAACATACACATGTGTTGAAATACACATCCTCACAATAAATCAAAGTAAAGAAAAACAAGTATAATAAAAACAAACTATTTGAGTATAAGGCTAAAGTAAATATTTTAAATCAAGAGAAATGAAGTGAAAATTGTGTTAGTTAGTTGGTTGTAATAAGGAAAGAAGTTTAAAATAAATGTAAGGACACCACTATCTCAATTTGTTTAATATAAGCTACAGAAGTCATTGTAATTTTTCTTCTATGTAATTATCATTCTTATAATTATCATTAAAATATTGTGACTCTCTCTCTTTCTCTCTTTCTTCCTCTTTTCCTTCTTTTGCCCTCTCTTTCTCTCTCTTTCCCTCTTCCAACAGTGGCAACTCCATGGTCTCAATCTGTGGGTCATGGACTTGCCTGCTGGAGAACAGCTACCCAATAAACATGTCTTTAATATGTAATCTAAAAAATATTATGGCAATTTATCAATTAGACAACTGCCTATTCATTCATTTGATATATACATTATGTATATACATTATACATGAATACATACCCATATCCATATGGCAGAATGAAAGCTCTGAGGGTTAAAGATAGGGCACTATACATTCTCATATATGCAACACTAATCTTCTACTACTGAGCAAATTTCAGATGATTTCTGACATTAGAGTGTTTTCTTTTATAGGTGTGTTATGCAAATATTTGTGCTTTGATATTCTGGATATGGTATTTGGTATTTCTTATATCCTTTTAATTTCACCAGATTTTTAATTTCATTGGTTTCACAAAAAAAAAAAAACAAAACAAAACACCTGCGGTTTCTTCGGCAATACTAAAATTGGAACAATACATAGAAGATTAGCATAGCCCCTGCACAAGGATGACATGCAAATTCATGAAGCAGTCCATAATTTTTAGGATAGAACAAGGAAGTAGGCTTCAGACCTGAAAACGACTTTGGGCTAGGACGGGGAATTAGGCTCAGATATTTTGGACATCCTGATAATACCTTAGAAACAGTGATCACTGGAGTGTTCATGTAATGGGTTTTAATGCTTTGTTTGTTTCTTGACTATTTGTGTTTATAATCTTGCTTGTTCCTTGACTATTTGCATGTATTGTATTGATGGACCATCAATCTAGAACTGACCTTAATACATGCATATAATTAAAATGGTACAAAAGCAAAAAGGAGGAGGGGGAATGGGATAGGAGGATCTAGGGAGGGGAAATTCAGAAAGGGGATGACATCTGAAATGTAAATAAATAAAATATCCAATAAAAACCACACACATGTACATGTATATTTCTCATATCTGCTCCACCTACTATCCTTTCACCTATTCTGGCTATTCAGTTTTTCCATCACAAAAAATGTTTAAGATCTATTTTCAGGTCATCACTTTAAGTTTGCAAAATAGTTTTGCATAATAATCTTTAATTCACATATTTTCCTTCCAAAGAGATGACTTCTTTCCTACATATGAAAAAGAATGTAGTCTCTCTGTCTCTTTCTCTCTCCATGTGTGTGGGGGTTGTGGGTGTGTTCCTACATACATGAGTATAACCTGCTCAGTCTGTAACCCAGTATGTAATATATGATTTCAGAGCTCACCATTTGTTATTTGATGACAAATTTATATGTTGTTCCAAATGGGAAGAATTCCTTAGATTCCAATAATTCTTAGTATGACCTATCTCATATCTCCATGTTGACCTTGTTTCCACAGTTTGAAGGACAGTCCTAGATCACAGGAGATGTCCCTCACAAACAGCACTAAAATCACAGAATTCATTTTACTGGGGCTCACAGATCGCCCAGAACTCCAGCCTCTCCTCTTTGCGCTGTTTCTGTTTGTTTACCTTGTCACTGTCTTA